ATCAATTTTGGCCAGCTTTTAGGGCCAAATACCTGTCTGTGCGTAGTGAGAAACGAATACCTAAGAGATAAAGTGTAAGAAATAACGTCTCTTTTAAAGTTTGATTTTATAGTATACCGTAGTTTTCTTTATACCCTCGTTAATGCGTGGCGCTCAAATTGAATTTTATTACATGAGAATTTATGTTTGTTTTATAGCAAACCATAAAAGTCGGTCGGAATGGTTTTTATTAAAATAATCTGGATCCTCTCATTGTTTGGACACTATCTATCTATAATAATGACAAAGTTCTGTCTGTGTACCTTTTGCATTGAACGAAGGTTGACTTGGAGAGAAAAATTAATACACTGTATTGAAATATTAATCGCGCATAATATCAATAACTATGCTTGCTGCTCACACCGTAGTAAACATTTCCCCGTACCCTATATAAATCCCGGTAACGAAACCATAGTCCCATCTAACTCGATCCGAACGCCATCTATCGAGCGCTGGGACAACTCGTGTTAATTAATGAATTATTTTAATATAAAATGTTGATCCCGTTACCGCTCCAAACGTGTATGATTAACTGTTTTACTGAATTTGATAAGACGAGGCATGCAAATAGTTTTTGCCTCTATTGTGGCGATAGGATAGGTATTTCTATTAAATCAATACAGATAAATAAAATTGGAGTGTCAATTTGTCATATTAAAATAACCGCTTTTTGTTACATGCATATGCATATCCAAACGATACACATACCAAAATAATATATTTGATATTTTTTGTCTGTCTGTCTATCTGTTTGGACTGGCTAATCTATTGAAATAATTATAGAATAGAAGCCATTATTATTATAGAAAAGAAACCATTACAGAATGGCTAAATCAATTCTGATTAGGTTTTATTGGCTATTACCTGATATACATTTTTTTTTTTTTTGAGGGTGGAAAATCATCCAATGACTTCTCCCGCCTGGGCGAGGCGGGAGGGAGTGTCAGACTCTTACTGACTAAAAACCACCCCGTTCGTACTCCTGCACTTCGAGCCGGAGCCCCGGCAACCCGTTAAGTCTTCCGCGGCTCCGTATCGGCATCAGCCTTGTTAGGCCCCATCTGTGGTGGTCTGATGGCTCCTTAAAGGCGCGCGCGGAACGCGACGCGCCGTACGCTCGGGCCTGGTTCTGGTCGGGCGGCGAGTCACCCATGCTCGCCGTCCGCAGGCCCGTGCTTACGGTGGCCGGAGATCGTCTCGCGATCCCCGACGCCCGGAGTGTCTCTCGCGACGGCCGGGTCGTGAGGAGGTTCGTTCCCTCACGCGCTCCGCCTCCTCCTTAGCTAGCATGACTGCTTCGCAGAAGGAGGAGACGGCATCCCAGTCCCCCTCGCTCCGTACCATGGTCTGAACCAGAGCCGGACGCGAGAGGTCGCCGTCGCCGATCACATTCCTGAGGACACGGCGGTGCTCAGTCCACGCAGGACACACCGCCACCGTATGCTCCACCGTGTCCTCCGGGCGATCCTCGCAGTGATGACACCCGGGCGTTTCCCCCCGCCCAATCCGAAACAGGAACCTACCGAAACTTCCGAGTCTGGTAAGCACCTGCGTCAGGCGGTAGGTGAGGACGCCGTAGCGTCTCTCAAGCCACTCCTCAAAGAGGGGACTTACCGCTGCAATGACAGCGAGCCCAGCCTTCGGTTGCGACAGTTGTTGCTGCCATTCCACCATGAGATCACGCCGGAGCTACCTGATATACCTACTAAGGAGAAACACAGGCAAGAATTCTTCTGTTTTGAAATTTTATTTCATATTCTACGCAGACGAAGTTGCGGGCAACAGCTAGTTATCTTACAATAATGTGACCACATTGCTTTTTTTTGATGACGGCGGATGCTTTCAAATGGCGCCTAGTCTTTTTGGGGATAAAAGACTAGGAAGTGTGAGATTTTTACTTCACTAAAACCACCCCGATGGCCACCCTCAACACCTATATGGAGGCACTGGGTCCTCTAAAAGAGACCTGCTCCGGAGTGACCACAATCCTAATACTTTTCTGAAATTAATATTAAATTTCAATATTTTTCTAAAACATTTTCACAGGTCACTTATGAAAATATTACTACTCCACTTAACCGCCTATACGTAAGACGAAATAACGAAAAGAAGCTATGTTTTATTCCATCCACTTCTTACAGGAAAAAACAACCTCAAGATTTTTACCTACCAATATAATTACATCACAGTATCCATCGTTATTATGACCCGAAATGATTATATATGAAACATCTATATTGTCTGCAAGGAGGCCCAAATTAAGGCTACTTATATAAGTGGAGTATAAATTACTTACTTCAGAAATGGAAGCGAAAATAATTCGGAAAATATGAAAGGTTGCCGGGAGTAAATAAGTTCCTTTTGTGACTCCACCTATATCTTAGTCTATCTTGAATTGAGTTTATATGTAACCTACATATATACGTAGATATACAACAAAAGCGAAAACATAAACAAAAATAACCAACAACCACATCAACAGCCTATACCTAAGCGGCAACTGCTAACCAAATGGCTCTTCTCACACGGAGAAGGTTTGAGCATTAATCGCTAATACGGGTTGGTAATTTTTAAACTTATAATTAGAAATTATAAGCCCAGGTTTCCTCACAATGTTTTCCTTCACCATTTGTCAGTGGTGTCTAGATAATCTTAGAAAGTACATATAACTTGGAAAGTCACATTGGTACTTGCCGTTGGTAGGTTTCGAACCCGCTCCATGCATGATAAGCGGGTATCTTAAAACTCTGGGACACCACGACATTACTGTCTTTATAATACTCCTGTTTATCTACAGCCACTATATCTATCTTCCGCGCGCGCCTCAAAGAGCTATTAGATCACCACGGATGGGGCCCAATAGGGCTGATACCGATATGGAGCCGCGGAGAACTTAACGGGTTGTCGGGGCTCCGGCTCGAAGTGCAGGAGTAGGAACGGTGGATTTTTAGTCAGTGAGAGTTTGACACTCTCTTTCATTCATTCATTTCATCAGGCATTCGATGATTTGCCCACCTTAAAAAAACTATATCTATCTACATAAGTACCTGCGTAGCAAATAACTTGACTGACTGTATATATGTAGTATGTGTCCTTCCTATTCCACCTTGTATATCACCTTCATTGCGTATTCGTAGATAAAATATATGTGAATTCACCCACGACACTTTACGTATGTAGGTCTGAATATATTTACGCGAAGAAAACTTTATTTGTTTTGTATTTTCGGCTTGATCGCCGTAAATGTAAGCCCATGGGTCATGCTATAATCGTATGTTGTTTCTTTTGAAGGTTCTATCGTTCTATCTACGTATTTGTCCTTTTTTATTGTGTGTTATTTATACTATTGGAATCTTTGGTCTTGTGATCGAATTTTCGGATATTTTAGTGTAATTTTCGAACTGGTTAACTGTAATTATTCGGTTTCTTTTGGTTAACATTCTTTATAGCACGTTATGGTCCCCATACGGTCATGTAGGATATTTATAACGAACATACTACATCATCAATAGCTTGTCATAATCCACAAGTTTTTTATGGCATAAGCCGGTAAACGAGCAGACGGATCACTTGATGATAAGCAATCGGCGTCGCCCAGCTGTCCATCCTGGAACGCCAGAGGCGTTACAAATGCGTTACCGGCCTTTTGGGGATTAGGAGTTTAAGGATCGTTGGCGATTCAGGGATTGGGGTGATCGGGGAAAGGAAGAGTGGTAATTGGGCCTCTGGTAACCTCACTCACACGACGAAACACAGCGCAAGCGTTGTTTCACGTCAGTTTTATGTGAGGCCGTGGTCGAGCCGGCCCATTCGTGCCGAAGCATGGCTCTCCCACACTAAAATACATACAAGAGGGGAATAAGGGACATATGTACTTAAAGGGTAGTGGTAGTCGGGCTGCAGATTGTAGTATAACAGGTTCAGGTTTCTATGAAAGTGCTGATACAACTCTAAGCAAAAGAGTGAAGATTGTAACATATGTACTTTATACCACCAACGATGCCATTATACTGAATTTAACTCTTTAACTGTACATATTACGAGTATACCACATGTAATAAAATGTCATAGAGGTTTGTATCAAAGGAGTAGGACTTTCAGTCGGCGACTATGTTTGCTTCGAACTAACAACTGCTTTTGACGTAAAGTTCTATATGGTAACCGGACTCAGCAAATGGAGTAAGTACTGGTTAATGTGTTTTATTACGTAAGGTGTGACAAAACTATGGATATGATTTTATGGGCTTTGGGATTGTATTACTGCGAATGTGAAAAGCTTCTGTATAATACTGCATAAAAGTGAATGTAAGAATAAATAAGTACAAATACATCTAAGAATAAATAAGTTTATAGCGGCCATTATGTTAGTAAATGTAACATGTTGTTGTATGATTGTAATTATATTATCTAGTTATAAATTAAATTGCTGCGCCCTAACAGGGTAATGTACTGAACTAATCGTATGGAATACTTCTTATTATCTATTATATAAAAGAAAGTCGTGTTCTATTTATAACTCAAGAACGCCTCAATCGATTTAGATGAAAATTGGCAGGGAGGTAGCTTAGAACCTGGAGACGGACATAGGATACTTTTATAGAATACTAATAGTGCTCTAAGAATATTTACTAATGGGGTTGCATAGTCATAGTTGTCTATGAAGATCTTTTGAGATGAAATAATAAAAAGATGGCTTCACTTAGAGAGCGAGTTAACATTTTTGTTACTTAACTCTTACACACAAATAAACCTACCAATCTACATCCGTATTTTCTTATTTATATATAAGTAATATTGTAATATGATAAATAAAGATAACGTATTACCAATCTACTCACTCTGTTGAATACTGTCGCCGCATATTTTTGGCATATCATTTGAAATAAATTACTTTGTTCAGTAAAATAGAAAATATGTCAATAACAATATAGAAAATATATTAAATATTCTAAACTACTTACCACCCTTTTGAGAGACATCTGACCGGGGCAATTTCAACACGTCACAAGCCATCTTCTCTTGACTTGATTTAGTAATATACACCTTACTGCTATCATGCCTGCAGACAAAACACATCCCAAATTAGTTTTAATTAGAGTTCAGTATTAAATGTGTAATTAAGTCTTCCCAAACATTCTTTAGACAACCCACGTAGAACAGCATTAATTACTTCATTAAATAGGTCTTTGAGGTAGCATACTGAGCCAACGAATACCTTATTACTACTAAGAAAGGATATATTTTCAAACGGATATCCTGTGAGTAGATTGTAATTATATTTTACTTTGTCTATTTCACCATAAACTCTTTTTCTTTAGATCGTTCTTCACACAATCTTATACTAAGCTTGCTTAACTAATAAGTGAAACTGAATCTTCTAAGGGTGCGTCTACATCTGGCGAATGTGCCGCGAATGCGCAACTCGCGAGCCGCCGTGTCCGCGAGCTGTGCGCGTGGAGTCACGGCACGTGCTTAACTCCTACAAGGTTCGTATAAATTGCGCATTCGCCAGATGTGAATGCACCCTTACATTATAACTATGTAGGTATACCATGATGGTGACTACCAATAACCAAACCAATGACTTTAAAATGAAGTACTATTAACCTCGTTGGCCGAGTGGTTGCAACTGCCGGTCAAGGGGTCTCCGGTTCAATTCCCGGGTTGGGCAAAGTATTACTGGGTTTTAAAAAAATTTCAGTAGTAGCACGGAGTCTGGAAATGTGCCTGGTATACGGCAATAGGCTCACCCCCTATTACAAGGGACTCATAACATAAATAGTGAAAAGTGGGTGTTACTTCTTTGTGCACCTCTGCCTACCCCTTCGGGGATAAAAGGCGTGATGTTATGTTATGTTACTATTAACCTTTTCTCATAATGTACCTAACTTAAATGCTACTTGCGACCCTTACAACTTTTTCCACGGTCGGACAAAAATATCGGTTGAGAATAATTCACACATTTTCCAGAAACTCTCCAATAAATAAATAATTCACCCCGCCAATGATAAATTCTTTTTCACAAACAAATAAAGGAGGAAATATTGCTAATAAATGAAAACGATAAATGTAATGACACACACGCACACAGACACACATTAAACTGTCAAACACCAAGCGGTCACCGGTGACCGCGACCTATTGTTCTTTAATTGTGTCTATAAAACCGGTACTCGACGAGTTAAAGAGCCTTTGTACAAACACAATGGATAGCATATGTCTACAATTATACATATAAAAGCCCCCACTGGCGACATACAGGCGGCATTCTTACAAAGAAAACCATTCAATTTATTAATTGCCGAGAATTAAAAGGTTGTAATTTAGACCATTTTGTTTGATGTACAACCACGTTGCCCCACCGGGTGGGACAGAGAGCCTCCCAATTACACCCACTGTGGGCTGAATAACGAACAGAAATTATTTTCTTCGAGCTCGCCTTTTACTGAAACCTCTACTAATTGCTTGCCTACATATGTATGTAGAGAAAAATGGCCGTACATTCTTAATTAATTTGTGTACATGGGTCTGGAGAAATGTGTTGTAATTAATTTTATTATGTTCGTATTGATTTGGGTACTCTACGACGGTTCTCCTTAATTATTTAGTCTACGTATTAAGTCTGACAGTCTACCCTTACTTATCTTATTGGCCACTCTTTCCATATCAGCAAAAGTTTTCGGAATCTTTTTTTTTAAGGGGGAAAATCATCGAATGACTGCTCCCGTCTGGGTGAAGCGGGCGGGAGTGTCAGACTCTTACTAACTAACAACCATTCCGTCCCTTCTCGGAGCCCCGGTAACCCGTTAGGTTCTCCGCGACTAGGTATTTGTATATAGATCACCACTAACTTTCTTCATCACTTCTTTTAGATCAAGAATAATCGAAAATAGGTAGTTCTTTTAACTACGAGACAACACAAGCGTTATACACATTTTATTTTACTACGAAATTGATATTAAAATGGGTACCTATCTGGTGGTATTTTTAATTTAATTTTTGAACAGAAATTTTCGTGTAGGTACATTATTCCAATGAATTTTTGAATAATGAAATATTTTTGTTTAATTTCGTTTTGTTAAAAGTATTTTATAATGAAATACCTACGATAGTTACGGCTTAATATTTTATATACTACCTACCTATATTATTATTTATTATTTATCTATATGAGTCCCACATTTTGCTTAAGCTATCAGAAGTGCTATCAAGCAAAGAGTCCCGGGTCGGGCTAAATGTTATATTAAGCTTTGTTCGTTTTAATTATAATAAATTAATAATTATATTTTTCGGGTCACTCATGTACCTAAATGTTTCAAAGCAGCAGCGCAACATTCGCCGCGTCGTACGTAGGTAGGTATATCGCGGACAGGGACGTGCACAGAGATTTGAAGTACCTAGGGTAGGCAGGCAGGCAGGTATCACATGATTGAAAATAAATTTAGACTCGAATCTCGGAAAATAAAACTCCCGAAATATCATAATTTTGAGTAATTAGGTAGGTAGTTATGTAATTACCTACTATATTTATTTATTTATTTGGACATCCAGTTGTTGCTACATTTTTATCATTAACTTAAAACTAGGAATTAACATCTTACTGCTAATGCACAACATTTGAAGGACATCACAGCATGCGTTGAGTTGAGAACACTATATCAATTGAATTTAATTTACCTAATTTCTCTGCATTACCAAATTTGCAATAAATTAGAAATTATATAATTAGTAACAACTTTTGTTATTACTCATTATACAATAGTCAACCCGGAATACAAAAATACAAATACAAAACAAAAGAAAACAAAAGAATAATCAAATATCAAAATAAAAGACACAGTCATTAAAAGCTCAAAAAAAATAAATTAATTAACATTAAAATAAATATATAAAATCGGTTGCGAACAAATCAAGTCAACAGCAATATAATAACACAAAGTCAACAGCACACCACAACACTAAGCTTCATCTCTCAACAATCCCAGAACAGCTTTTTTGAATTTTGGCAATCTATCACTAAACAAATCAACCCTCTCACAGACAGAGTTATAGGCTCTAGAAAGACGAGATATGGTGGAGAACCTCTTTAGGTTGGTTCTGGCAGATGGCTGGTGCAACAAACCCGCGTTAATTAGTGCGCGCCTAGGCACACGTCGAGGTACACGCAAATTGAATAAGCTTAATAGTGGCGGACAGTCAAACTCGCTCCTTAGTACCTTGTACATGAACGTTATGTCATGCAGTTTTCTACGAACAGTCAAGCGGTCCATCCTAAAATGTCTCAGTCTTTCGCTATACGATACCAAGCGTTTGTGCAGCCCACTGGCAAATGTTAGGTGTCCTAGGAAACGTCTCTGTATGCGTTCAACCCTAACTTGATGCACATTATACTGAGGCGACCAAACCACCGAGCAATATTCCAGTTGACTTCGCACATAGCTGTTATATAAAGTAATTTTAGTGGTTGGGCTGCGAAATAGTTTGCTGTTACGTATAATAAAATATATACTACTATATATTACCTACCTATTGATACCGAACTACCTAATTTGTATACTTACCTAAACAAATTAATTATTTTAAAACCATTCGTGTATAAAGTTAGATCAATATAGGCACTTAGGTATCTATTTTAAAAATCTATTAACTAGGTAGGTACCTACCTACTTCTGAGCGGCGAAGTGTAAATGGCTACACATCAAGCTATGCACCACCAGTATAAACTGAACGTTAAATGCACAGACAAATTGTACAAAGCGAGCTCAGGATAGACTGGGTTCAGAAAATAATAATCAAATTGCAATTGGTACACAACCAGTGCTAACAAATTACACCTACGTATAATCGCAACCCCGCAGTAGTATTTTTAATAAAAGAAAGAATAATATTACCTTTTCTGAGTTACGCCTAGCCCGGACATACGACACACGCAAAATCGCCTTTGGAAATATTTACGTTTCTTCTTCAAACGACAACAAGGATAACGCACTCATAATGAATTTATTGAACAACACACATCACCAGCACAGAACTCACAGCTATAATTTTATATAATTTACGGTTCAGTTAAATTATAATTTATTCACTTGCACTCAAAAACATAATCAAAACAAAATGGCGAAAATAAAAATGTAAACAATTAGTTGGCCAAAATTAATAGTTCCATTTTCAATCAACAAACGCTACGTTTTGTCGACTTCTTAAATGAGTCGGATAACGAAGAAGCGGTGCTTATGAAGTTGTATAGCAATTACCAACCTACCAAAAAACTAAAATTCGCGTCCAGCACGAGTAAACAAACAAAATAAAAACAATTAAAAACATACCTCCGCCACCATCACACAATAGCTGGGTGGCGGCGCTGCTGGCGCGATGTTCCAATATCGAAAAAGTAGAAAGTTGTTGGTAATTTTTCGATAGATGGCATTAGTGACCACTATTTCCAAATTTAAAATCTCTGTATGTCGGTAATTATTCATGTCGTGTTAATCAGTGAAAAAACTATTACTTTGGACTATGTAGGTTTAGCATGATTTTACAGGGTATACAGTGCTTATTTGCATGTACGGTGTGACGCCAATGATATGGTAACCATTTTTTTGTTTGTTTTTTCATCTTAGTGATAGCACTAAGTCTGAAATTATACCCAGTACAGTGCAGTAGGTTCAATAAGCTCACATCAACAGCCTATAATGCCCACTGCTGAGCAAAGCCTCTTCTCATACGGAGAAGGTTTGAGCATTATTCACCACGTTTGCTCAATGGCGATTTCAAACTTATAATTAGAAATTATAAACCCAGGTTTCCTCAGGATGTTTTCCTTCACCGGGTGTCTGAATAATCTTAGAAAGTACATATAACTACGAAAAAGTCACATTGGTACTTGCCGTTGGTAGGTTTCGAACCCGCACCCTCATGCATTAGAAGCAGGCGTCTTAACTAGCCACCACGACCAGGGGGCTTACTCTTGAATCCAATTCCGATCGATCGACATTGGTATTGTAAAATTTCGTACTCTTGAGTTGCAACACTAGCGCCCATTGCATCCGTATTGCGTGGATATTGAATAAACTAAATGGTATTGAATTTGGTTTTATATTCCGTACTCTGAATGCTATTGTAACAGCTACGAAAGGGGTTGTACAGTTTTGACATTGAATAATTATTGAGATTTGATTGGATTTAAATTGCATTGACATTGAGATTGGTATTAAGAGTAAGCACCCTGGTTCAATAAGCTCACCTCGTAACAAATCTGGTGAAATGTGGGTTTATACATAGGTATGTGCTTCTCCGATGAAATATATATGATGGATTAATATTGTCTTTTATTTATGTACAACGGAATTTAATTTCGTGAAGGCAGATCGAATTCCCGTCAAACGTAGGTACCAGCATATTGGAGCGTCATTCCATTCTCTAAAAATTCAACGGATCGAAATTACATTTTGATTTACGACGCGTTGTACCTGCGTTACTGTTGCATTTAACTGGAAAATTCAGGAAAATTGATGGAAAAACGATTGGATATAAATGTTTCGAAATGTTTTTGTTACCTATGTGCAATTTTTTAATGTCAATCGTAGTCGTAGGTGTTCATTATTCGTGACTTGCCGCCCAACCAGAATCAGGCCCGAGCGTACGGCGCGTCGCGTTCCGTGCGCTCCTCAACGAGCCATCAGACCAACACAGATGGGGCCCAACAGGGCTGTTGCCGATACGAAGCTGCGGAAGACTTAACGTGTTACCGGGGCTCCGGCTCGAAGTGCAGGAGTAGGAACGGGGTGGTTTTTAGTCAGTAAGAGTCCGACGCTCCCTCTCGCCTCACCCGGGCGGGAGAAGTCATTGAATGATGTTCCCCCCTCAAAAAAAAGCCCGTCACAATAACGACTAAGGCAGTTTTATATCACTTTGTCAACCGAATTTATATGTATACAGCACAATCATAATCTTTAATCAAAACAATCAAAATGACTTTTTACTATAATAGGTTTGTTGTATGCAATATGTAAACAAAGCTCAAGTTTCCGAAGTACATTTGAATATGACAAACTTGGGAAGAGGCGGCCGTTCCCCAAGACAAAGTTTTATTGTGAGTATATACGGATGAATGAGGAGCTATAGGAAATCCGTGTTTAACACCATCTTAGTCGAGGTAAAGTGTCGCCTTGTGTTTCTACTGTTTGTCGTCTAGTTTCCTTATATTTTTAAAAAGAACGAAAATGTAATGTAGTACTTTTGAAAAGATAATATCATGCCTCTACAGTTATAGGAAAAATGTAGCCAATACTATTCTCCAAGCTAATAACTATCACTAGACACAAAATTCTGACCATGAAATCGCTTCATTAGGACTTATTATAAATACGGAAGGGATTTGTGATTCAGTTATTAAGTAAACATACACAAATGCATTGAGATATATATCTATTTGCGAACGATATAAATACGAACCTCACATCATGATCTGGACATAATTATTTAGCTAGCAAAAATAAAAAAAAGCGTATTTTTTTTCTCGGCTGCTTAATGCATTACAGGCATGTACGTAACGTATGAAATATATTTAAATATTTACTTCGAACGCACTTATAAGATGAAACGAATATCGATCCGTTCCCGAAGAAAATAATAATATGAAAGTAAGATCGTTCTTTACGTTATGTTGTTTTATTTAACCCTTCAGTAAAACGTTTCGAATCATAGGTAATGGAAAGAAAACATTACATTGGGTATAAAATTTTAGTAAAGGTTGTTGTCATAATATTTGTGGGAGGTACGGCCGTAAACGGGAGCGTGTCGATACATTTTAAATTAACACGAGTGTCACAAAGGCCCAAACGGCAAAGTGCAAATTTTATATTAAAATTACCTACTTATTTCATATAATCAGGCGAAACGCTCACAGCTTATTAATACATCCATTCCACGAGTTCCCCGGTAGTTATAACAAGTATACAGATATAGATAAAGTTGTCTACAGGGTTGAGACGCGAAAATTAGAGTAAGAAGTAGGTCAAAGTCGAGCGGGGTCGTCGGCCCGCAGCGGCGTCGAGTCTAATAATTACGTAACGATGTCGCGACGACTCCGTGCTACTACATTTTGTGGGCTACATCATACAGAATTAGGTTCAAACTTTCTCGCCACGTGGCTCTGACATCTTGATAAATTTCACATTATTACCGTCTGCAAGTTTCCTTCGTAAAATGTAAAGTTGTGGCGGAAGGATAAACTTCATCTTTTCACAAAACAAATGTCAGACAGTTCAGAGTTTTATGTGGGAACATTCGAATTCTTGTATTTACGAGTACTGGAGATTAACTTACAGTCGTCCTGGGTCAATGGATCTGCACTTGAGTAAAGTTTCGCACTCAAGGCCTTTCTTCATCTCCAGTAATTTGATGTAACCTGTAAAAAGAAAAATGTTTAATGAAAACAGTAAGCTAAGGTTCAAATTTCATTGTTCCATCAAGTAAATTACATTTAAAACATCAAACATGCTGACACGCGACGGGTATTTCATCAAGTTAATTCAATTCGGTTAGGGCGCATTATGGTAGCCAGATTACTTTTCTGTGTACACAGGATAGCATTGCACATACTCTGAATAATTGACGTGCTTGATGTAGATACGAGTCCGCGCCCGCCGTACCTATTCATGGCTATTAAATCAATGGCCAGTTCCGTAGGTACCGCCACCAGATTCCATTTATATTTTCGGGCGTGCGCAATAAAATCAATACAGTGAACTTTCCAAGAGTACAGTGACCTAGTCATGCGCTCGATCTGAATAAGGCCACACGTTGCATAAAGTATTTGTGACGTAAAATAATACGAGCGCGTCATGTGAACATAGTACAATTAGTGGATGTGAGCATGTCGTCGAGAACGCTTAGCTGTCCTCATTTGAATATCGTATGTATACACGGTAAATACCCGTACGGGAGTGTAATTACTCCAAACAAGTCCCTGTCTTACAAGGTCTCGTTGTGAGTACTTGGCACATCTCTGTAAAGGGTGTCGTCCTAAGCTAACAAACGAAGGAGTCTGGTTATACTGACCAACACGGTTCGGTTTGACCGACCTTATTATTCGGAAAGTTTATGAATTCTACCTCGCAAACTCAGCTAATTAAACCTTTGAGTAGGTATTGTCGAAGTTATCAGTTCGAGTTTGCTTACCTGAACAGTTTACCAACGAAAATTGTGGGTTATTTTAGGATGACCGTTTAATGAAACTGTTGTGCTATTTCTATTAATTTACGAACTATTTCAACATTCACTTTAGTTTATATAGCATAATAAAATAGCCAAGGATTTACCAATTTGTGATTAGTTTACTTTTCTTGCATCTATTTTTTTACTCTTTTCTCGACTCGTAACAAAGTAATACAAAATATATAACACACACAATACGTCTCCAATACAAAACAGACTGTTGTATGGGTCGTTAAAGAATTCAGAACAGACAACACAGCTAAAGCCTACCACTTGAAAAGCGATAAAAATCCATTTTGAATGCGCATATTTTCCTGCAAGCCCACGGCCCGCGCGGGGCGGAGACAAAGGCCTGTGAAATTACAGTCTTGCTTTTAAATGCGAGAATGAATCGCAATGTCTCATCCCCTCAATGCTTTACAAGCTTGTGGAAAACTGCGCCGTCTATTCTTGTTTACACAGACATCAGTAACTGCATCTATTAAAATCCCGCTAAATAGAGAATTACCTTTGTGACGATTTAATTTTAAGGGGAATTAAATTTTTGGAAGGAGGTATAACTTAGGACTTTGAAGAGGAAAATGAAAACATTTACATAACGAAATTAATTGATAAAATAAAAATTACTCCAGTAAAGTCTGCAAAAGTTACTAGCGTAAAAGTACTGTACAAAGCGTTAAGGACAAACAAGCATTTTACATGAAGCCGGGCTTACCAATAAGAACATACCATTTTAAAATGGTCTGCAGTAAACTTTAGCAATAAATCTCACAAGAGAACAACGACTCAGCCGAGCACAGAATAGTTTCTGTGTCCCGCGAGTGAAATTAAAACTAATCGTAACTGAATGTACGGGACGCTACAGTAGGTGAGTAGTGCCGCGTGATCGGAATACGCCAGGCTCGCTTTAGCTTTAAATGTATGCAAGAACGAATGAAAGAAACGAAACACGTTTAAAAAGTCCATTAGTTGCGAACCCACATGAGTTTTTGCCCCGAACCGGCCACAGCGAGAATTTAAAAATGCACCAGCTCGCTTTGAATGTCGGCATCTTTTCATTTGTAGGATGTGTTGCCGCAAGACAAAACCTCGGGGAATTACACTCTTGTTCCTCAAATACGAGCACGGAGCGCAATATCTTTCCCTTTGAAAACTAGGGAAACTCATAAACATACGGCTTCAATGTTACGTCGCCGTTTCTCTTTTTGCGTGGTACGCGAGAAAATTTTTTTCAACCCTTTAATTATTTTGAAAAAAAGCAAAACACGAAGTCGCAACGACTCCGTCTTTTAATTAAAACCTATAGCAAGTTAGCAGTAATGGACATTTTATTCAATGTAAGAAGAAATAACTCGTCTAATCAACGATTTCTCCGTCTGTTACAAGGTTTCGTTCTAAGGCTGTTGTATCGTATCGTGTAACTAATGATACTGGGACCGTCCTAAGTCTGAAAAGAAACGTCGTCGTACCGTTTTCATCTCTCATTTGTTCCGTGACCGTGGAGACAGCAAGCAATGGAGACAAAGTGGAGCGAAATTGCGGGACGACGGACGTCGCTAATGCCACGGGCGGGTCGTGGCTGCCTCTCTATTGTACTTTATGTCGCACAAACAAGATGTTTGATGAACCCACATTACGAGCACCGGATTGAATTAGGGCGGTAATTTATCGTATTGTGCTTGTGACCGCATTGAAAAAGCTGCCGACTCAGGCCAAGCTTACTACTTCAGCGGTCGGTCGTAATTGAAATTTATTCTACATAAAAAGTAAATCACCTCATAAATAAACAGCTAGTCAATATTTTTCGAGTTTGCCTTGTAGATAAACGGTAAATCAGTATTTTCACTTTACTCAAACTTTGAGAATATAAAGTTAAAAGATGTTTTCGATGTTGGAAGTCGGGCTGACGCGGCGCGCGGCGATGATATAGGAATATTTCAGCCAACTTTATATCAGAACGTTAACTTACCAATATTTTGAGTATCCGCTGATAGGATTTTGGTGACGTTAATGGCCAAAGTTTGTCTGTGAACAACAAAGTTTGTGTTAATAAAATAGGACATCAAGTGATGTTCATCGTAACATTAAAGTCACGCTGATTTAGCTGAAGGGGTAAGTAGTGATTTAATGAATAAAAATCACTCTAGATGTCATTATAAATGGGTTAGTCCAAATCTATGTTTGTCTTTGTTTCGCTCTCTATCTCGCTCTCTCTTTTACTCATATTATACTAGATTAGATTCCACTCTACTATCAAGAATCCTAAAAATCTCATTTAAAATTTTTGACTCTTATCAGTCACACAAATAGACATGCTAATTTCAAGCACGAAAGCATACTTCAATTAAACAATTGGGATGATGACAGGGTATGAAAATCAAAAATCTTATTAGTCCGTAAGATAGGTAATTAAAAAATATGAGACACGTATTTTTTTTTATTTTGTCGTATAATAAAACAATACTTAGATAAAACGAATCAAAGTTTAGGTGTGGTGGCTAAAACGTCATTTCTACGTATAAAATGTACATAGAAGTGACGTCACGCGACATTTCAAATCAATATATCGTCGAAAGTATTCGTTTCTGCAAGAAAATAAAAAATACGTGTCTAACGATTTAAAATAATCTACCTGACGGACATTAAAATAAAAATTAGGCATCTACCCTATTGGCACCTATGGCAGCATGTACGTCGGAATGTTGCTTAAAATTAGCATACGCATTTCAGTAATATTTTCTATTTGACATACGTTCGATATTTGAACATTTTTAAGCATGTTCAATAGAAAACCTATTATGTGTAACAGTACCTTCAGAATTTGAATCAAGAACCTCACAAAATTGTGAAGTTACCTCGCAATGTTCGTATACGTACTTCTAACATTTGCTAAAAATAAATTCATATGGCTTCATCAATGTAAATATATATAAAAAGTATTAACTATAATTCTCTCTCTTTCATGATCAAATAAAGGATGGCGAAGAAGGATTTCAGCTATTTATAAATATAAACGAGTCAGGTCGAAGTTATTTTTGGAGAATTTAATTATGAATTGGCAACATTTTCTTATTTTTTTGATTTGGCAACATATTATTTATGTCGATTTGACAACTGGGTAGGTGATTTGAAATGTTCCGTTTTCGAATTCTATATTTCGTTTGTTTATTTCTTTTATTGATTCTGGAAAGTAATTGATGTAGAGGTATATAGTTATCAAATCGATTCACTGTTTTAGACTTTAAACCGGAGATGCGGATAACTTAACGGTTTCCTGAAGCTTTGGTTCAAAGCAGGAGTAGGGGTGGTTTTTAGTCAGTAAGAGTCCGATACTCCCTCTCATCTCACCCATAGCGAGACAAAAGTAATGGACGACTTTTTCTCTTAAAAAAATTGACAAACACAGTAAAATAAATTCTATCAACCAGTGTGTACGTTATTTGTACGATTTTATTACTGTACACAAAACTTGATTCTCAATCCTATTACAGGTTAAATCTCCCAAAAAAGGAAAATTCAATAATAAAACTGGGCCAGGAATCGAACCCAAGATTACCAGCAAATGCAAGACTTTATCCCATTAAGGTTGGGTAAGTTTTCAATTTGTACAGAATAGATTCAGTGACCGCTTACCTAGCACATATACATATAGACTAATAATGAATTGATACATATTAACATAACATCACGCTTTTTACCCCCGAAGGGGTAGGCAGAGGTGCACATTGTGCCTCTGTACAATGTAACACTCACTTTTCACTATTTATGTTCTGAGCCCCATGTAATAGGAGGTGAGCCTATTGCCGGGCACAATTCCAGACTCCGTGCTACTACTGAGATTTTTTTTAAAACCCAGTAATACTTTGCCCGACCCGCAAATCGAACCCTAGACCCCCTGCCCGGCAGTCGCCACTTGCGACCACTCGGCCAACGAGGCAGTCAACATATTATGCAACATATAAAAGGGGTTGGCAGAAAAGATTTCTCATAATCAATATCTTCTATCTAAAAACTTCAAAGTTAAAATCATTTATTACAACTAGATCACCTACAGACACTTTTGTAAGTTTATAGAATAGTCCATATGTATGCATATGGAGAAGAACGAGCAAGAAACTCCATTGTTAACGTCCTCCCTTTATAAGAATAGATATAGATAGATAAATAAATAACGTGTGTGTAGAATGTACTACACACACACTTTTCTTTCACCTGATGGTAAGCAATCAGCGTCGCCCATGGACACCCGGAACACCAGAAGCGTTACAAGTGCATTACCCTCTTACCGTTATTTTGGAGATTACGAATTTGGAAATTCCAAGATTGAGGAGATTGCGAAGGGGGGGGGGTGTTAATTAGGCCCGGTAACCTCACTCACAGGAAACTCAGTTGCCTTTACCCGCCTTAGGTGAGGCGAGAGAGTGTCAGACTCTTCCTAACTATAAATCACCCTGTTTCTACTTCTGCGTCGAGCCTTAGCCTCAGTAACAACATTCATATAGATAAGTATATAGTAGTAGGCAGTACACATTCGCTAACGAGTTCACTCTTGACCTTCCTGAAGGACATTCACAAATGAGGTCAGCACATGTCCTTCCGAAGCGCCCTCTACCGGCGTAACTAACAATCGTCATATTGAATACCTTTGTACAGACGACTACACATTTAACTTATCACCCATTTTATCGTGGTCTCTTTTTGTAAGATTTTTCTGCACTTACAGCGGTCAGTTTATACTGGTACTTTCATAGGTTGATGTGTTGTGTTACCATGTATACTATTATTTTCGTTTCATTCCCTCGGTATTACGCAACTAGCTTAGAATAACTTGTTATTTTTATATGTTATTTACACAGTAATGTTTTTCTAATGAAAATATTGACTGCTTCGTTTGCTAGACAAAGATTAGGTTTTTATGTCGACTTTCTTAGTAATATTGTGATATTATGTTTCGCTTTTAATACTTAAAGTTATAAATAGATGTACACATACATAATAGTGGCAATATAGTGGCGAAACGTTGACCAATCAAATATAAAAAAGAACATTGTACCTAATACCAACTTTTCACCAATCATGTTATAAGTCCCATGTAGTCTCTTCTACATCAGCCCCTGCTGAACATATTACATGAAAATAAAAAAAACCGTAATAACCATAATAAGCCTGACTCAAAAAGTCAAAGTTAAAGCTTTTATCTCAACTAAATCATTAACAGACACTTTTGAATTGTCAAAAATAGCCTATTAGTCTGTTCATCAGTGAAGCTAGGAGCTACTGGCAATGGCCCTAAGACCCTTGGCGGGGGCCTAGGCTACTTGCGACCATTCGAACAATGACGTTGTGATAGCAAACTATCTCCATCTGTAATAATAACAAACAGTTATAATTTATTTAAAACAATCACCTTGTACTTTACAAACTTCAATCAATTACCTGTTGTAAATAAATACAGAAGATTTACTCAATGTATGTATACGTATTTGTTAGTTAAACGTGCAAGCTGCGTGATGACGGCAGAATAGGCAGAGATAGAGAGAGAGAGTGAGAGAGAAAGAGTTTATCATCCAACCCTCTTTCCGTGGGTATCGTAAGAGCGCCCTCTGACAAACCTGAACCTTTCGAACCTACCAACCGAGGAGATAATAATAAATCCTTTTATTTAAAGGAGACCAATATAATACAATTGTAGATTGTCATCGGCTATTGTAGCTCATATATCAACCAACAGTTTTACATGTTCTATGACACAGAAAAAAGTCGCGCAACATTGTTAATGATCACCCACACACAAACCATCAGTAGTCACTTCTAATTCCAACTTAAGAGCAGTCGGTCCACACAGCCGTAACTTGGCTACAAACTTGACTCGTAAAACAAAAAATAAACTTGACAAAGTAACACAAAACATACCTGTTAAGTTCGTCGCTTGTTTCAGTGTTGTCGCGATATAAACACTGGATGTAAACATATTTGTTGCCTCGAAACATAAGCCATATGTTGCCGACTTCTTTGTTCTTGCCTGTGAAAAAAAATATTTTGTTTAGTTTAATGAGCGTTTTTTACGTTCGTAGATGGCGCGGGCGTAGCTTTAGGGTCGGAATCCTAATGTGACTTTAGTACTTAGCTTATACTGCTAATTAAAAGTGTGATTTTTTTATTATAATTATCGTGAGACATGCTAAATGAACTAAAAATCGCGAACGCGGCAATGTTGGGCAGCTGCCCGTGCCTCATGAGCTCATGAGGAACAGTTAACAGAGGTTTTCTTCAGCTTTTCTCAGTATTTTCACGTGAGGAACCCGCGATTTTTAGTTAATTTAGTGTAGGTAATCTTTGTGGAAGGGGTAACACTATACCTAATTAATACGTTAGTCATAATATTAAACAGACTTTTAAATGCTTTTAATTCTAATAATAAATTTTTGCAGCAGATAAAGTATTGTACTAATTTTATATGAGTTGTTGCTTCTTTTGAAGTTGAAGAGTTTGCATGTTTAAACGAACTAACCTCAGGAAGTACTGATTCGAACTGAATAATTATTTTTGTGGTGTGATGGTCCATTTATCGACAAAGGCTATAACAGATCACGCTACAATAAATAGGAGCCTAGCAGAGCGGGTAAAACTGCGTTGCAAGTAATAATAATAATGCTTGTAACTACAAATACCACAAAACAGAAGATAATTTGTACTAAAGCTATCTTCACGATAAAATTGAACTGGAATGAAGTCAGGTATCTACAAAATGAGGGTGCGTGCGTAAGGAATTGTACAAAAAGGTTTTATTCCTTTTTTTGGGGCTCCCTCATTCTATGACTCTTGATGTGAGATACGTGTTACGATTTTCCCTGTACCCGCCTTTCCGTACATGTTAAGTATTTATCTTACGGGTTTTTTTTTATTTATTTAAACTTTGTTTTGTTTGGACAGTTTTGGTATTGTTTTTTTTTGTAATCTAAATGATATTCTAATGACAGTCTTGTAGTTCTAACTCATTAGTGTATTCAATGAAACCTGTTGTCCATATAAAATATAAAGGCGCGGTGGCTCGGAGGTTAAGCCTACTTCTCATGCATGAGAACTCGAAACCTATCAACGGCAAGTACCAATGTGGCTCTTTCCGAGTTATATGTACTTTCTAAGTTTATTTGGACACTACTGCCATTGCCACTGCCACTGTCGACAAACGGCAAAGAAAGGCAATTTCTAATTATAACTTTGAAATCGCCAACCCATAATGAGCAAGCGTGGTGATTAATGGTCAAACCTTCTCCGTGTGAGAAGAGGTTTTGCTCACCACTAGGCACTTATAGGCTGTTGATATTCGTATAAAAAATTCACACAAATGTCAGCATTCTATTTTCGTATTGTAATTCAGACGTTTGACATGGATGGTATAAACCTATAACAAAGGCCTCACAATATCTGGCCGGAATAATGCGAAACTCAACTTTGACCTATTATCGGGCCCTATAGTACTCTTTTCCAATATTCGGTGCACCTTCGTCAATATTGACAGCACCTGTCATTGTGCCTTCACAATATCTGTGGCATTAAATGTCGAAGGAAATTTAGACCACCGACTGATACACCAATTGACACCTTATTAATTTATTCATTGGGTTCATTTTTGAAACAGCAGCATCTTATCAAGAATCAAAATAGTTTTTGGATAAGCGTACAACCTATACAAAAAGGATCTATCTATTCTGAGATTGCTTGAAATAGTTTAATTATTGTAAAACTCTCTGACGCTCTCTTTCCTTTATTAGAGGAGATTAAGAAATATTTTTTCTCCAGAAGCAAACAAAAACAACTGAAACATCGTTGGTACATAATTATTATATTCTGTACAAAACTAGCAACACTTGGCCACACATGTTACTAAACTTACTACACCCCGTTAAAATACGAAAACCTAAATGCTTTCTTATTACGTTTTTCTACCTAAGTACACTACAAATCATTTCTTGCAAGATAAAAATAGCACTTAAAACGAACTAGGTAAAGTATAAAACGTTTTAGTCTCAAGTTAAAATACATTGCCTGCGAACAGCGACCCATTAATCTGGTATTATCACAAGCCCCAACGCCCAAACACTAAATAGTAAACACAAAATAAAATAGTCCTTATACTCAGCCACTTTAGAGTTTTAATCACTTATTAAAATTAAATTATGTGACCTTTTTCATCGTTGTATGTAAAGGATAATCTCCACGAGCGGATTTCGTTTCACTCAACCATTTCAATTGCAATTAAATTTGGGCCAAATTGAATCGAAGCGGATCGGGAGCGGCAACCAAGTGTTCGACAAATAGTCTGTTCCAATTTATTTCCATCGCACATAATGAGATACGTTTCCCAACGAATACGGTTCAAATAAAACGCTCTTTAATTTTCGTGTTGTTGCGTAATACAGTGATCACGGAGGACACTCCACTACCGCGCTCCTCTAGAAACGATTCCACAATTTGCACGAGAAAATTACTTTTTTTACGTTTTTTTTTATATTTTCCCGCCTTTTACCCGCGCTGCTGTCAACTGTCAATCCCGCATTACGGTACTTTTTAGGAAACAGAATTACCGCGTTGAATTTTGTTTGCTTAATGTTATTTGAAGAATTTGCCTTTTAAACATTTGCTTGAATATTAAAATATTTGTAAATTAGAATTGTTTATTTGATATCATAAATGAGAAAGGAAAATGACCATCGCTTCACATCAATGTTGATTACGAGAAATTCTTGAACCCAAACAATCTCATAAATAAAACCATCACGATCTACATTTGTCTTGACCACAGGAATCATTATAAGAATTCCGTCGAACTATTTCCTATTTTTTCCGAGTCATAATAAATCATGAATACTCACGTAACTTGTTCACTTCGAGGAAGTTGTCTCTCATCTCATTGGTCGGGACACGGCGGCATCTGAGGAAATAAGTACTATGAATCTTACGAAGAACAAGCGTTGTTTGACCACGAAATGAGTTGTTAATGCTTATTATGGTTTTAGTAGACGGATGTCGGTTTTAGTATCCGACATTAATTTAGGAGGGATTCTATTTTGGCTGCAGGATTGGCACGGTGGCTGGGCAACCGGCTGCCGCGCAACGTGTAGCGGGTTTGCTTCCCACATGGAGCTACTAGTTATTTGTGTAATCGACAATTTGTTATTTCGGATCTGGGTGTCATGTGAATGTGATTTTGTATGTTTGTAAACGCACCCACGACACAGGAGAAAATACTAGTGCGAGGCAAGGTGTTTAAAAAAATCTTAATGACTTTGTGATCAGATATCATTTTGTGGTATTGTTTTTTTGTTTTTCGATTACGGTTCGGTATCAATCTTTGGCTTAATAACTTTATAATATTTTATCAGTAAATTGGATATCTATTTTCAGATTTCTATCAAAAAATGTCGACTTTAATTACCTTCCTGTAAGGTAAGTACTTAGAGGTAGCAATACTAAATGTAACTACACCTTTACAACAGTTTATGATATGGGACTCCTGTTGAGTCCTCCGTGACTGCCTCGTTGGCCGAGTGGTCGCAAGTGCGACTACCGGGCGAGGAGAAGAAGAGAAGAGATTCCCGAGTAGGACAAAGTATTACTAGGTTTTTAAAAAAATCTCAGTAGTAGCATGGAGTCTGGAATTGTGCCCGGTATATGACCAAAAGGCTCACAACATGGGACTCATAACATAAATAGTGAAAATTGGGTGTTGCACTGTACAGTGGCATTAAGTGCCGTAATGTGCACTTCTACCTACCGCTTAGGTAACCCTAAAGGAGTGATGTCATTTAAAAATAATCGTTATTCTATAATATGACTTTAACCCTAACCCAAAAAAAGTAATCAGTGCAGTGGGGCTTTATATATCAAAATTTTGGCTCAGTCAGGAAGATTTCACATTATTCAATAAATTTTAAAAGTTATGATTGGAATCGTAAACTTTAATATCTTCAATTTAATAGTTCTATAGAATTTATAGCCACACTCTACTGTGTCCTGGTTTAAAACCTGAATTCAATTTCCAGAAAATATTTAGTTTTCCGAGTCAAAAAATATTCTGCTCTTTCAGTATTAAACACCTCAGCAGTAGTGAAAACGCGGTTTGTAATAATAAGTTCATAGCACTAACATGAAATAGAAGTGATTGGCCCAAATAATTTATTTATTTGTTTAAATATGTATACCGACAGCTTCTGTATACATAGCTTTTTTTTAAAGGGGGGAAAATCATCGAATGACTGCTCCCGCCTGAGTGAGGTGGGAGGGAGTGTCAGGCTCTTACTGACTAAAAACCACCCCGTTCCATCTCCTGCACGTCGAGCCGGAGCCCCGGTTACCTGTATACATAGCTTAAGAAACAACGAAGACAACAATAGGTTTTGCGGTTATACAGTCGCCAAATATAGATTAACCAATTTTAAAATTAAGTGACAAAAAAACTATACAAACGAACAAGGAAAATAATTTTTTTGTTACTAAACTAACTGCATGGTTTGTGCGGTGGCTGGGCAACCGGCTGCCGTGCAACGTATCGCGGGTTCGATTCCCGCACGGAAAAACACTTTGTCAATGTGTATGTGATGTTTGTAAACGCACCTACGACACAGGAAAGAATCTTAGTGTGTGGGGAACAATTTTAGAAAAAAACTTCAATTCTTGTAATTGAACAAAACGTTACGAAAACGAAAAATAATTATTGTACACATGTAATTATTACACCTCTGCAAATCCCGTTAGTGAACACAAAACCATCCCTCAAGGGATAAGCAGAGACGTATTTACAAAATACAATACACCCACTTACATAACCACAAATATTACATTCAAGACAATACACCCACTCATGAATCACAGACTCCATACCATAGATACATATATATGTATGGTATACACAAGACAAACACACTTAAAGACACAACATCGTTACTAAAACCCACACAGAACTATCAAATTACAAACCAAACGAATGTACAGTCAGGCCAATTATTTAGTATTTATTAAGTGCTAGCTTCTGCCCGCGACTTCGTTCGCGCAGTCCCGTTTTCTCCCGTTCCCGTAGGATTTTCAGCCCGTGTCCTAACAATAACAAACACAACAAAAAAAAGATCAGCCAAATCGATCTAGCCGTTCTCAAGTTGTTCTCAAACTGCTAAGCAGTTTTATTGTATTTGGCAAGTCTTGGCAAATCATTTAATACCAGTTTAATTGATTAATTTATTGTTTATTGATTAACACGGTATATATCAATTATATTCATTAAATTAAATTACTAAAATTATAAGAAAAATAAAACTAAATTAAAATATATAACATAAATAATGTGTTAAAAGTAAATGAGAAAGTATGTTAAAACTACAAAACATTAGATAAAGTTAGACATACAGAATACACGTTAAAAATACAATACAAATTAATATTAAAATAAAATAACAATAATAATGTACACAATAATCAATAAACATTTTACACATACATATATGGTTTAGCTCACAATCCATTAGGCAAACAAACAGACATTAGAACCTTGTACTTATTGTTGAAGAAGTCACAATCCGGGTAGGCCTTCATGAGGTATGTAATATGGAATATGCAGGTACGAAAATAAAGATTGATTATTACAGACCCTGGTTGGCTACTGAGCCGACTAATGTTTACAAAATTTATGTCTTCAATAAAATCTAGAGGTACTACATGCTTATTCCGTTGGCTCAGCAAACCAAAGTGGATCTTGGCCACCGATACGGAACTTCGTCATTCCGTTAAAATTCGCATCAAAATATTGAAACTGATAACATCCTTTTTCAAAACAGACAAAAACGCTACTACTGTCGACGACAGTCGCTGCGTCGCGAGTCGGGCAATACTGCTCATGAATATGAGCCTCTAGCATGGCTTGAAACTAGTCAAGTTCCTCGTCAAACAGTTACGTGAGTAAGCCGAAAACATAATAATTAATTAGTATGTCTAATGAAAGTTTTAATATAAACAAACAAAAACGCTAAAACCTCCTAAATGATAAGTAATAGCTACTGCCGCCATCTTTTTTTTACCTGTATACTAAATAACTGGGCTAACTGTACATCATTATTACAAGTACACATATATTCCCCAGAAGAGTCCTTTCGAACACAATACATCGCCACCTTGTCTCACAATGGAGTCTCTTACGAGGCTCAAGGACTGTTAAGTTACTGTTCATCATAAAAAGACATTGTTGGCTCAAGAACTTGCGAGGATCTTGACATTCTTTACATTAGACGGTAGTGTGGAACTGACCTAAGGTTTTTTTAGCGTTCTTAGTATAAAAAAGTAAGTGTCTCTTTATATGATCATAGAGGTATTTTTGTTGACTATCTGTCCGATAGTTAGTAAAGACCCTTTCTCCTAGAATTATTGTACTTACATGAAAGTATAAAAATGATAATAATCAAAAATCGAACTTGAATTATATTATCCACATACTATAAGATAACTGTTTTTTAAGTTACTTAAAAGTACCTTAAAAAAAAAGATAATTTCATCTACATTTCATTTACTAAACTGCAAACTACAATTGTCAATAAGTACAAGTAGTTCGATTTATAGTCAGTAAAACATATGTTTATATATATCTCTGCTATATATACGTGTCTTAATTTCGTTTTATGTACACTCAAATTAATTGTTGCTTCTTGCTTCCTCCGCATCCCTACTTTCTTTGCTAAAAGCAGACTGCTAGATAATGCGCACGGTATTAAGTCCAACTTGTAAAACGTTTAAAATAAAATAATAAAAATTAAAACAAAATATGTTACACAATTGGGATGATGACAGGGTATGAAAATTAAAAATCTAATTAGTCCTAAAGTTAATGAAAAAATATTAGACACGTACTTTTTTATTTTGCCGTATAATAAAACAATACTTAGATAAAACGAATCAAAGTTTAGGAGTGGGGTTTAAAACGTCATTTCTACGTATAAAATGTACATAGAAGTAACGTCACGCGACATTTCAAAACAATATATGGTCGAAAGTATTCGTATCTGTAAGAAAATAAAAAATACATGTCTAATGATTAAAAATTATCTACCAGACGGACATTAAAATAAAAATTAGGCATCTACCCTATTGCAATAAAATAAAATCAATACTTTATTTCGCATTATAATTGCAATAAAATCATCAGCCGCACAAACCTAGATACAGATACAACCACTGCATTTAACCCGTAGGTAAATGTACACAGGATTGTCATAAACCAGGCGTCAAACGTATCGACAGTTTTGATTGATGATCACATGGGAGTTGCCATGGGATGCCTGAATATCTAATGGCGATGACACGCCAATTTATCACCCACTGATTATTCGCTATTTCAATCCATACTGTACTTTACACCAATGATATGGAACGGAGTATTTATCATTTGAATTTATTGGGCTGACGTTGATTTAATATGACAGTTTGTTTATTGATTGTTGGTTGGAAATAGTGCTTTACAACTTCCAAAAGGGTTAACAGAAGTCCCCATATACAGAGTGTAAACAGACATAACATCACGCCTTTTATCCCCGAAGGGTAGGCAGAGTGGTCGCAAGTGCAACTGCCGGACAAGACGTCCTGGTTCGATTCTCGGGTCGAGCAAAGTATTACTGGGTTTAAAAAAATCTCAGTAGCAGAGTCTGGAATTGTGCACGATATATGGCAATAGGCTCACCCCCTATTACATTGGACTTATAACACAAATAGTGGTAAGTGGGTGTTACATTGTACAGTGGCATATTGTGCACCTCTGCCTACCCCTTTGGGAATAAAAAGGCTTTGTTATGTTATGTTAATAGTAATGAACTGTTCAAGGCGAATGTGGCATAAATAACACGAAAAGGAAAATGTTTATTTTTTTTCTTAGCGTTGCGTTATTGATTGCGTTTC